TAGCGAAGACAGGGCCGCCGGCCCGGCCCGCGGTCGGTGCCGCGGCCTGCGCCCAGCAGCCTGTGTCCTGCGGTCCGGGCACGGCCCCCGGGCTGCCGCCCTCTGCGGGGCCGCCGGTGCCGCCTCTCACCCGAGAGGCCGACCCTGGATGGGCTAACAGGCTGGTATCGTCGTCGTTGTCATCCCCAGCATGGCAGCGGTAGCGCAGCGGGCATCAGGCGGTGCGCAGCGCTGGTTGCGCCGGGCTCCCCTTGGTTTAGCCGAAGCAGTGGTCCAGTCGGTGCAGAATAGTTAAACTAAAGTCCTTTTAATCTCTGCTGTGCTAGTCAGGCCTGAATCGACACCCTGCTGTAGGACTGCCAAGCCCGAAAGGTTGGTCGGGCTGTGGGGCAGGAGGGTTGGTGGCAGCTTCTGGTGGCAGTTCCCAGTTAGCCTGGATTACGGGGTTCGTCAGGCTACAGGATAATGGAATGGGCCTTCTGCAGCGTCGCTCATGATGTGGTGGTGGTGGGCCCGTGTTATCGTGGTCTCCCCCGCAGCTCCTGTGAGGTCACGGGGACACAGCTGCATCTGAGGTGTTGGTGTGGTCAAAAACAGGGTGATGGGAACATCCACAGGCACTGGTGTCATATTTTTGTTATAGATACTGAACTCAGGGAGGTTTATTAGGTTCAGCACCTGATCCTGTGGTTTGGCTTTCAGTGACAGCTCTGTCTCCTGAAGGATCAAATACTGAACATGTGCTATTTGAACTGCTCTTCAGGCTTAGTGTTCTTTATGCCAGTATAAAATATTCCATACACAAAGGATTGTTCTTATTTACAGGTGTTAACAAAGCAATGCCCTGTTGCTCAGTGCTGTAGGCATGTTATGGTGCTGAAGTCAAGCCTCAGGACAGCTTAGTGCTTTGCGTGTTCCTCACGATTTACTGGAGTGGCGTTTAGGCAGTGGTGAGACTAACATAAAAGGACAGTAGTGAGCCTGGCCTTGGAGCACTTTTTCATTTCCCTCTCTTGGAATCTGTGACAGAAAGAGCGGTAAGCCACGAACCAGTAATTTCATGAGGCTACTTTGGCCCTATTGCTGTTATTATTCTAAATATCAGTGTACGTGTGTGTGCGTGGACTATCCTATCCACAACAATGCGTGAAAACATCTCTTAATTACCAATAACAGTCACAATGTTGCCGATTTTTGTTTTCTTTGTGAGGAAATGATATTGATGGGTGAGTATTTACATTTCTGGTAATTAATTCAGTTTTCCAAAATTTTAGGGAATTTAGAAGTCGTCAGCCAAGAGTCTATCCATCTGGCCAGGCCAGTGAGCGCACTGTGTCATTTCCTTGGGAGGAAGACGTTCTGAACAGGTGTATTTATTCTTACTGTTGCTGTTTATTTGAAAGCATGTCGGAGTTCTTGGAGCACAGCCCTGTTGCTCAGGAGAGGTACAAACAGGTAATAGCGAGACTGTCCTAGTCCTGCGTGCTATCACCCCGTGGACAGCTTTCATCTACAGCAAGTCTCGCTTTAATAGCCAAGGGAGGTATCGCTGCTGTTCTGGAGGTGGGTTGGGGCAGCATGTCGGGAAGTGTGTGCCCAGCATAATAACAGTCTCTTAATTTCAACCATGTGAGAAAGGCAACTTTAAACACAGCAGCAAAATCAGTAGCTAACCTCATAACTTCTTCCCCCTTTTGGAGTCAGTTGAAAGGACTTCCTATTATTCCTGTTTGTTTTACCAGGAAGGTTACAGGAAGAGATCCTACAGCTGACTGATTAGCGATTCCAGCAGAGGGGTGGAGGTTAAAAATGTCCAAAATTACTACAGAACTCCTTTTGGAAAGAGCAGTTCCAAGATCTACGAGGCTCCGAAAGATTGAGACACTGAAGTAAGTGCAGACAAGCCCATGGAAAATTCCAGCTGAATTCAGGCTGGGCAATGCTTTTTTTTGTCTTTCTTTTTTGTCTTTCTGTCTTTCTTTTACTGAAAAAAGAGACAGTTACAAAGCACAGAGTGGGAGATGTCTTTCTCAATGCAGGATCAGTGAGCACTAGTGGAACTGCATTCACTGGATAGGTTATTAGCAGTTGCCACCTCTTTTCACCATTTATATTGTATATATGCTGCCATCTTCTTTTTGTAGAACTGCTTAAGGCCAGATCCTGATTTCTAAACCCTAAGATATACTCTCTACCCTCAAACACTTCTGTCTTTGCTAGCAGTTGCTTAATGTGAATAAGAGAATCTCTTCTGACCTGGATTTTAGAGGGGTTTTGAAATATTTTTGGCATTATTTCCCCTCCGTTTTCCTCTCCCTCCATCACTTTCCATCTCCTTTAAATCCAGTTATGTTAGTACCTCAAACATTTCAGAAAGGGAGAATAAACTCTGACACACTTAGAAACCACTAAAAACAGTTTTGTTGCTCAGATCCTTAGTAAAGGTCACTGAAAATATGTGTCTTTCCAAATGTTTAATACAGTGGAATTTCGCTATTCCAGAACTGGTCAATCCAAGTGCCTCAGCTAGCCAATTTCTGGCTGGCACATTTGTTGTTTTTGTTGCTGATGTAAGTGTTTTGGGTTTCATATGTACTCTTGAAAGCTACTTCTTTTAGTTTGTTTTGTGCTAAAATAATTGTTTTTAGAGAGAAAGAAGTTTATCTGAAGATTATAGGTTGCAGTAATCTGGGTAACAGAGTGATGTTGCGGTGTTAGAAGTAGTGAATTTCTAGAGTGTGTGAATTTCTAGTGTATCTTCTTCCATGCAGCTTCTACCATGATTTTGAAGGGTTATATTTCAGAAAGTCTGGGGAACAGTCTGTTGAGTTTCTCCCCAAAATGACACAGTAGTCACACTCAGTTTTGCAGCCAGCTGAATTCTGCTTAACCTTTCTTATATGATTGGCTGTTTAGGTTTCTGAAATAACAAGTGAAGGTCTTGCTTCCTGATTTTATTTACCTCATTTATTCACACTTCATCTATATTTACAAGACCTACTAATCATTAGAGATGGAGATTCTGTTTGTTAAAGAAACTCAGGCTTGTGTCCTCAAGAGATCTTGTCTGTCAGGGCTAGAAAGCTCCCTTTGGAGCTCAGCTAAATGATCTAATCAATTCTAAATGACCCTTCTTATAATATGCAGTTTTCACTTCCTTACAGAGGAGTAGTATATTTTTCTCCCCTCACAAATATTGTACCACTTCCTCTTTCAGGACTGAAAGCTTCTGTTTTGGTGGCAGCTTTGGGATTTTGTTAGGTAGATTTCTGTATTTGCCACTGGAAGTTTTTGCAGCAAAATTCACTGTAAAAGAAATGGAAAAATCACTTCTTTGTGAAATTAGTTCTTTGTAAACAGCCAAACAATTTGAGGACCTACTCTGCACTTGGCCTGAACTTAACTTCCAATGCAGAGAGTAAAAGTTTTGAGTCAAATCAGCAAACTGATCCAGTTTGCCACATCGTAGTCTGAGTGCAAGTGTCAGCATGAAGTGAGGGGGAGGACAGGACTAGCCTTTTGGAATCACTGTAGGCTTACAATGCTGATACCAGTTGTGAGATGGTGATTTCTAAAAAATGAGTGAAATAGTAAATCTGGTGCATCATAGGGTAGACTGATGGTCTAGTGAATAAGTATCTTGTATGGCCACAGCTTGTTTTGTTGAATTTACATTGCAAAGGAATAAAATACCAAAATTTTTAGAGGTGTGGTAATTTTTTCTACAAACAAGAATGTTTCCAGTGATTCACAGCTCACAGCCAGCTCTGTTACCCATAGGAGGTTTATCTGGATTGTAGATTAATTGTACTGCAAATGCTTTGGTAGACTTGAGTCTCTGATGGTGTCTGTTAGCTTAGACACAGCATCTTCTCCATGTATGTGTTCTTGCAGTCCAGAATGCTGCAGACAAGAAAATGCAGGTTTGGTCAGATTTACCCAGTGAGTTGTGCTAGACTGAGAGGTGCCACCAGGTGGGACCTTGTATCCTGTGAAAGTCAGCGCTTGTGTTTACAATGAACTGCAGGTGGTTCATGTTCTCTTTTGTTTTCAGCCTGTCCAAGCTGCAATTGAAGACTGGAGACCTAGACCCGCGTTTGTTTTCCCGACTGAGACATCTGCAGAAATTAGATCTCTCTGATAATTTACTGGACAAATTTCCCAGCAGTCTGACCCTGCCGGATCTGCGTGTCCTAAACTGCAACAACAACAAACTGGAAGATGTAACTGCTTTGAAACAGTTCCCTCTGCTCGAGGAGCTGACCTACGAGAACAATGTGTACTTGACAGTGAGTTACCTACCATCCTTACAAGTGAAACATTAAATGGAGGGGGAACCAAAGAGCAGTTATGCCTAGTTTTTACATATTGTTCTTAGGCAGCAAGTGTTAGGACATGTGAGAAAGCAGCCCGTCTTTTGTGCCCCTTCAGCAGTTTGTGCCACCGTTTCCCAGTCTGCAGAGTGGCTTGCTCAAAACCACTCCGATACTAAAATCTGGTTATCTTGAACTTCTGATGGGCCAGAGTCCCATCTTGTGTAGTTAATCAGGCAGGATATCTTATGCTCATACTTGTGTACAATAGTCATGACTGTGTAGAAATGTCCTCTTTATATGTTACTTTTAGTGCCCCTTGTGTTCTGAAAAGCAGACTTGGTCCTCTGACGAGGGGTTAAACTTGGTGATTAGTCTAGTTTAGGTTTTCTGACTTTTCCCAAGAGGCTCTGCTGACTGTACAGTATAAACATCCAAAACACTAATTTTACTTGTGCTTTAAACTGGCATCAGCCACCATCAGCATCCCCAGTTTGCTGCTGGCAGAAGTATATGTATGGTTGTTTGGGGAACTGGATTGGGGAACTGGACTGGCCTAAAATGAACCTGACCCAAAGAATCTCTGCTTCGTGTACGTTTACTGTAGGCAGGGCAGGCCTCTGTGTTAGATGCTTACTCTTGAGTTAAAGGATGCGGACAGCACACCCATCATTGTGCTCAGGTGGGAGCAGAGGAGCCTTGGTTACACCGCCACCACCTTGTGTTGGATGTTAGTACTGCATAAGTGTGAGGCAGGTCTTTTGTCTACAGTTTTAAGAACCTAACTCATAGGAGAATGTTAATTTACAACTAAAAGGTGATATTCAAGTCAGGAACGCTGAGAAGATTTTATGAAATGGCCTTCCCTGACTAAATATATTATTCTTATCCTTGGCTGTATTTAATAAAGGACTAAAGCTGAAGCAAGTAACATGTGTACAGTTTTTGTAACTCTGATGTCTTCTCTTTCTAGCTCAATGATGACTATAAAGTAATGTTTCTTTTGCAAAATCTTCGGCTACTCAATGGCAAGGATATAACCAAACTGGCTAATCATGTGAGGCGTGTCAACAGTCGTAAGCTGACCAGCAAGGTAAGACATGTAATAATTTCTTAATCTCTGAAAACCTCAGAAGTAACTAAATACTGTGCTTGGTTTAATGACAGAGTTACAAACAAGCATCAACTGGTTAACAATAATTCTGGTATGATCTGAGCACAGCCCACGGTATGGTCCACCCAGTAAATGTCTTACTGCTGCTTTCTCTGGTCACTGCTTGCATTTGCTCTACCTGTTCTGTGTAGCCAACTTCTGCCTTCACTTTAAATCACAGGAGCAGGGTCAGCAAGATTTGTGTCTGACCCTCTAGTTTCCAGGTCACTCCGATCATCATTCAAAAACGGGAGAAGCTTGGTGCTGACATAACAGCTGCATACACCTCCCCATCTAATTTACATTATTGTCCTGGCTGCAGGAGTGGGGAGCACAAAACAAGCTGGGGATAATCTTGCTTTTTCCAGCATACACCAGGAACAAGGATTAGTTCTTTCTTCTTCAGTTGTGCATGTTATTTTCACTCATTTATGTACACAGTTTAGTTGCTGACAGATTCTCCCCACAAAGCATGTTGTGATCTTGAGCAAAATCATTGTTCTGTTGTGAAAAGGGGTTTTTTTTGTGCAGTACTGCTCTTACTGTTTGTATTCTAGATAGTTGATCTTGTTAATTCCTTCTTTGTAGCAGTGGTGGAGAGATCAAATACTGAAGACTGGGATGGCTTGTTGTGCTGTTATCTGTGTGTTGTGTATCTGTTGTGTTGTTATCTGTGTAGCACCTTGTACTTCAGAGGGTCTTGGTGAAGGCTGCTCAGCCTCTTATCTTCCAGGCTACTGGGCATGGTTGGCTGCTTAACCAGACACCAAATACTCCCCCCACGCTGTTCACTTTGTGCTGGTATCTGTGGCCCAGATCCCTTTCCCTGATGGTATTGCTTTGTACCTGGCTGCCCAGTTCTTACCACTGTGTCTAAATTTCCAATGTCTGTTGGGTCCAAACACTTCCGGATGTGTTACTACCTGCCAGAAACTTTCAGATGGGAAACTGTGCTGATAGGTGAGCATCTGTGTGACTGTGCCTGTAGTTCAGAAGCCTTTTGGAGCCAAGGTATGCACACCAGTCCTGCTAACACATGCACTGGAACTACAAGAAAACTCAAACATCCCGGTTATAATACATGCCTGTTATAATAAATTAGTTACTTGTCAGGTACTCAGTGTTAGTAGGGCACAAGTTTAAGACTCCTTAAGACTATTTGTTACGGATCCAGAGGCATGAAATCAGACATTGCTTTGATATCTGCTTAGCCGCACTCACTTAGGCTTGGTTCAGAGGAACTGGGTTTCTTGTTAGCTGAAGTCATGGTTTGAACGCTGATAAAATAAATGGAAGCAGTGCCATCACGTAGCTAACAGAGCCTCAGGGTTGGCAACTTCTTAAGTGTTTTCACAAGTACCCTTGTGCTTTTCTGCTTTGGTTTTCTGTAGTATTGTGTTGAATAAAGTCAGTCTTTCTGCCTAGGTTACCGCTCACTGGGAAAAATTCTTCCGTGACCAACTTCCTGAGAAATACACAGCTGAGCAAGTGAAGTCCATCAAGAAAAAGTTCCTGAAGTCAGTACAAACCAATGTAGTATATGGACCCAGCTCACTCAGTGAATTCACCCGCTGGCGGGTAGGTTACATTTCACTTACCCTTCTGCTCTTCAGGCAGGGACTCTGCAGCCTGATTCTGAACAAATCTGATTAAAATACTCTATAGATTTGTGTTCAGGGTATCGGGGCTCTTGCAAGCAGGTGATATCACTTTCTCTGGTTTTCTTCACTGCTTTTTAAGCAGTTACAGAAGTACCAGGACTAAATGTGCATGAAGTTGCATGACTGCCATTAAACATTGTTTTTTTAATTCATAAGCAGGAATGATATATTAATTAACAAGACTACAGTATCCTTAGTGCTTAATTATTTGCAAATAACTAATGGAACCTTTAGTCTTGATGGAAGCTGTATGAAAGTAGAAAAGATAGACAGTTACTCCCAGTGGGGAAAGATAGCATTTAGTTTGTAATGTATGTTTTAATGGTATGTACATACATACGATTGAGGCTTCCATCTCTCTTTTATCTTGTTGCATTGCTGTGCTGTTGTTTTTGCAAATGTGTACCCACGAATGTGGGTACAAATGTGTACCCACACCACAGAATGAAGTTCTTGGGTCATGTAATGTCAGCAGAGGACTTGGCCTGCCAATCTGTCAGCTGAGGACTCCATCATTTGTGAAATTCACCTAGAACAGTGGAGGCAGATATTAAAAACTCAGCAAAGCAGCTCTTGTCGTTACACATCAGAGTTTGACTGCTGTCACTTTTTGTCTTTTGTTTTTTTTAACATATCCACATATTGCTTCTAAGGTGAAAATGATTGCGGAAGAGTTTCTGGCGTACTCGCTTGGTCTGGAGTTAAATACAGATCCTGAACCAGAGGAGAAGATGGATGAGAGTGAGGAAGAAAGTACAGAAAGCCCCAGGGAAGCTGCAGAGGATGTGAATCAGGTAGGTGATTTTTCCAGTTACGCTAACAATGTCCTTTTTATTTCTTAGAATCCAGTAGCACTTGTCAGTTTACATTTATGACCCTCTTGGTCCCTGTAGGGGCAGTCTCAGACTCCAGCCTGTATTCAGCAGCCAAGGCTTGTTCTTTATGGCCAGATTGAAGCTTTCCCAGCGATGTGAAGGCTGAGTTGTTCTCCAGGAGGAGAGAGCTTCCATTCTCATAGGAGACTCAAAAGATTTCATGAGTATTGTCCTACTGACTCCACCTCTCCTTTGAGGAAGGGATAGTTTTTAATGAGAGAACTGGGCTGATGCATGGCCAGACTGATGGCACTTGCCTTCTCTGAGATGGCTGCGGACTGAACCCCCTCAGTCCATGGGCCAGATCTGTTTTTTCACATCATATGTAAATCACAAATAACTGGGACAAGGAAAGGGAGATGAAAATGAAGCTGGCTGTGTGATTTTCATTAGCTTCTGCCTCTAGGAACTCTGCAGCTCTGGGCTGTCTGATTCTTGGAACCCAGTCTGTAACCGTGGGATGGTATTTGCATTTGAATAATTAATCTCTCTGATTTACAAATGATTTGCACATCTCGGGGAAGCTAGAAACCTTCTGCAGAAACTGACAGTATGCTTTATAGGTCACAGTAACGCCCGGCAAGAGGAAAAGAAATAATTCAAAAGCAGGCTCTGGAAACAAGAGGTCCAAGTCCAAGGCAAACACCAAGGAGGAGGCTGTAGTTAATCCCAGAAAGTCTAGTCGTGTGCAGGGTGAACCAAGAACATCGAAGGAGCCAGCCAAAGAGGCAACCCCTGAGGAGGCAGCTGAAGGTACAGATAAGAATGGAGAGCAGTGTCCCAAGGGGCAAAGCAACAGAAGATCCAGCCAGCTGACAGGGGAACAGAAAAGCCAAGAGCAGGAGAATGGAGTTGTTAGCTTGACCCCAGTGAAGAACTCCAAGGGCAAGGTATGTTCATCAGCCCCCCTGGGACTGGCTTTTGGCCTCTTGGTTTAGTGGGAGGAGCCGCATTCAGATTTCATCAGAGCTCTACACAGCTTGGAGCTCGTAATTGGCCAGATATATTGTGAGTTACGGTTTTTGTTTTTGTGTTTTTTTTGTTGTTGTTTTAAATCTCTCAGAGGCATCAGGGAAGCCCTCCCCCCCCCTGGAGAAGTGAATCCCCTGCAGGGGATGGATGGACCAGCGCTCTGAGGTGGTGCACTGAAAGCCTATTCTTAGAAATGGGACTGGCATGACTTGCTCTCAGGTCAAACTGATGGCTGCATGGGGAAAGGTGTTTCCCCCTCAGCTCAGACCAGTGGGAATCTAAAGGGTTTTTCACATTTCTCTGCAGCAGGAAATGGGGTTCACTGCTGGGGCCTGCTGGTTTAGGAGTCTTGAGCACTGGTGACACGTCAGTCTCCTGTTCTCTGTAGCACAGAAGGGCTGAAAATTACTTCAGTTTAATTCAGACTGCTGTGTTCAGTAGAGGGTTCTGTCAAGGCAATCACAGGCAAACTGCTGTCAGGGGAATGAATTTTCTAAATGTGGATGGTTTATTGTAGGAGGATGTCAGTGCAGAGCCATTGCATTTTCTTCAGTGTCACAGTAAAGGCAACAGCCGCGAGGATTTTAAAACGCAGCTCTGGTCCTGTGTCTTCGAGCCATTGCTAGACTGTGGAGCCAGGAAAGGTGAGCTCTTAAAGAGGTTTGCAGGATTCCCAGAACCACCTGGCTCTGGAATCCCAGCGGACTCCATGCGTTAGACCCCTGCTCCTTCAAGCTGTAGTCTCCGTTGTCAGGAAGAGACTTGCTTACATATTTCTTTGACTTTGAAAACAGGAGACTGGGAGAGCACCAGGCAGTGATAAGCTGCAGTCTTCACACGTTATCCGTGAACCTGGGAACTTTTCACCTATTCTTTTCATCTTTCAGATCCCATTGTGAGCTCCTCCAGAACTGTGGCAACATGTGGAGGAGAATCTGTGTGTCTGATTGATTGTGAGACAGGGACGGTGCTGAAAAAGTATAAGGTGGCTACAGAGGTAGGTTGCAATTGGGAGGGTAAGCACCGAATGGAAATACCACAACCCGTTATAATTGCATACATGTATACATAATATATATTACAAAGAGTTCTGAAAGGGTTTCAAGCATTAGCATGAACAGGTCTTAAAAGAATGTAGATAATAAACATTTCTTGCTTATCCTTTTAGCCTGGTTTGGTTTTACATTTTGATGAGTTTTTAAAAGATTAGTCTGCCTCTTCTCACACAGGCATACAGATGTGTATCCAGGCTGCTAAGACTGCTTGGTGGCCTAGAGGAACAAACATCCTGTTTTGATAGTTTCTGTTCTCCTGAGGGTTGTTTTGAGATTCGATGCTCTGCCTCAGATAGTCATGTCGCTTCACCTGGATACCTCTTGTGATAGTTGTCTTATCTCTGAGCAAACAGCCGTCCTGCTGGCTGTTCTCTTTCACACTGGATTCTTGTTTTCTTTCTGTCCTAGGAGTTTTTCAGTGTTGCATGGACAACTCTCACAATGGTGGTTGGTGACAGTCAGAAAAAATGTCATAATATCTTGGCAGCTGCTGGGAGGAGAGGGATTGTTAAACTGATTCATGTGGCAGCAGACTTCTGCTACGGAGAGATAAAAGCTCATAAAAAGCCCATTGCTACTGTCTGCTTCAGCCCAACTCGAGAAACTCACCTCTTCAGTAAGTCTCTGGTTCAGAATCACTTTAGCTTTAGTACCTAACGTGGAAAAGGCTGGGCTTCCTGAATAAGGGGAACTGTCACCAGTGCAGGCAGGGACCACACGCACGTACAGAAACCACAGACAGACGTTAGGGAGAGAGCACTGTTAGTCTCACATGGCAGTAACCTACAGAAGGTACGAATTGTTTCAGCCAGAGCCCGACTCTTTAGCTAGGTGCAGCAGCTCTTGTTTCTCTCTTGGTAGTTCTCAGGGTAGCTGTCACACCCATTAGCCACAAACAAACCTGGTAGTGGATCCGTTCTGCAGGGATGAGTAAGAAGAATGGTAGCCAGAGCAGCCTGCTGGGGTGGGGCAGCCAGCCGTTAGGGCTCTCGCCAAGCGTGGCAGCGGGGGTAGTGCAGCGTATTATGGGCTGCTGGATTTCATTTTTTCCACTGAGCAAAATTATGCACTTAATTGCTTTTGAATAAATGAACTTTTTTTTGAGTTCTGTGCCTCCTCAGAAATCTTTATTCAGGTCCCGCTGTAGAAGAGAGCTTTGCCACAGTAGGGCCCACAGAGCCTGAGGCCTGGGGACTGGTAGGAAACGAACCATCATATTACAAATTGCAGCTGCATTATCAGGCCTGTAAAGTACCCTGTTACAGAGCCATTCAGACCACACCTGCACCCCACAGCCCATTGTTTCTCTTGCCTCCAATTAGAGTGGTTAGAGTGCTACCTGAACCATTAAAAGTGGGATTGTTTTAAAATAGGGATATCTGTAGTGGATACCTTTCAAGAAGAAGCTCAAAGTGCAAAAGGCAGAAGCCTAAAGGGATAGGGAGGTTGATAGCACATCCATATAGTACCGTGAACAGCAAGGCTCATATTGCATAGAAAAATTTATAGTAATGAAGTGAGAGTCTCTGCATGCCTGTCTGGCGACTGGACACTAAGCCGTTTACTCTTGAGTTTGAGGGATGCCACCTGATTAGGATCCAGATTACTCTGAGTAATCTATTCGGATTGTTTCTGCTATCAGTATGTCAGCTTGGTGACAAAGATATTAAGTATCTTTCACACTTTATGCCAGTGCCTGACTTTTCCAACAGGAGCTGCTGTGGATGTGAAGACAGTAAGAGGTGATATGTGGAATAAATTGACATCTGCCTGAGAGTAGAGGTTGGAGCTTGCACTTTAGATTCCATTAGAACCCATGACCAGAAACATGACTTCAGAGGGGCACTAACTAATGACCTTGTGAAGCCACAACTTCGTAATGGACACCAGGAAACAAACTTTCTTTTATCTGCTCTTCTTAGAGCACAGGATAAGAATGCAAATTACTGCATGTTTGACAATGTCTGTGAAGTGGTGTTGAGCCAGGAGCCTCGGTGATTGTTGCTGTGCTTTAATGAGCTCTCTGATGCCACAGGCTTAGAATGTTACAGTGTGTCACACAGGTAGAATTGCCAGCTAGCATGAGAAAAGCTAAATAAGCAGTGGTGTCACTACCTGCTTCTCTTCTGTGTCCCACAGCTGCATCCTATGACAAGCGAATTGCACTCTGGGATATTGGGATTCCAGACTGTGACTACAATTTCAAAGCAAGGTAAAGGGTCAAAAGCCAGATGTGGCCAGTCCAGGAGCCTGTATCTATCATGTCACAGCACCACTTAACTGCTTATTCTCTTTTTTTCTCTTGCAGCCAGCTGCTGCTGCTGGAAGCTCTCTCTATTCCCTTACGGATTGAGCTGGTCCCCACCTGCCCAGATCAGTACCTGCTGGCTGGCTGTGAAAGCGGCTGCTTTGCCTGGAATATAAAACTGGATAAGGAACAAAAAAGCAGGTGAGAACCAAAAGCTGGGAGCATCCATTTGTTTTCCATAACAAGAAGAGGTAGTCCTAGGCAGGGCTTTATTGCTAACAGAGGAGGTCTGAGCAAGAAAAGCAGTATGTCCTACCAAACTTAAAATGTACTTCTCATAGTGGTAAGAAAAAATACCAGTGTAGCACTAAAGGAGTGATCAAAGCTAGCATCCCTGAGCTCGTATTGATGCTCCAGCCTACAAGTGTTGTAGGCTGACATGAGTGTAATACAATACCTTAAAACTTAATGGTGTATCACCTTGAAATAGTGCAACGAAGTATAAATTATAGGATCGAGGTTAAGCGTCACAGCAAGGCCTACCCTGCTTCTGGTACGTGAGGTTACCCAGTAAACTGGCACTCTCTGGGAGCACAGAAAAAAATTACAAGAAAGAAGCAAGTGAAGTCATGCCCTGCTGACATACTAATCTGATGTCTAGAAAAAGAGATGAAGTAAACCATCAGTCTCTTAAGTAAATGGGCTTCTGCTGTATTAATAAACACGGGTGGCCAAAAGTGTAAGTTCAAGCAGGAGTTCATGAATTTCCTTCTGGGTTCTGTACCTGAGTACCCTTCCACTGCTGCCCATTCAGGACTTGACTCGTTTCACCCTTCCTTTAGGCCTTTTGAAGTCCTATTCCAGTTCCCTGATGATGATGGAGGCATGACAACATCTCACAGGGTCGACGGTGTGGCTTTTCTGAATAATGATGTTGTTGGTGAGTATGAATAAAACAGCTCAATCAGAAAGTCAGGCACCTCAGCCTGTGGCAGGCTGCAGCCAGCATGATGAGCAGAGGGACTGAATGGAGCGTGACTACCTCTTCTTTAGATTTTTGGGGGCTACACAGAATGGAGTTGTCTCCCAGGGTCACTTATCATTCCCTATAATGTGGCTAGAGGTTCAAACCTATGTCAGAGCAGGGCTGGAAAGCAGGCAGACCTACCCCCGAGAGGAGAGAGGTCCTTTCTGCTCACAGGCTGATGGCAGCACTTTTTTTTCAGGGGAGATGGGGGTTCCTACATCTGGGGGAATGCTTAAAGCATGGGCTCTGTCTTTCCAAATGCTTGTTTTACAGTTCAGGAACATAAGCATGGGACTGAAAAATCCCTCTGCAGCCTTTAGTTACCCTGAAACAAGGTAAAGGAAGTAGAAACAGTTGCTGCTGGTATCAGGTCCCACACCAGATTAAAAGCCACCTTCTGGATGGACCACCCAAGGGCAGCCTTTGTCTTCAGGCATTTTACTTCTCAGCCACTGACAGCCTCTCCTGTCTTTTTCTTCCCTAGTTTCCAAGAGCTCTAAACTGGGATGCATATACTTGTGGAGCTGGAGTCGGTCTTTTGACACAAAGGGGAAGGGATGCCAGCGAACAGTGGGTGCAGTTATTCTCGCTGAGCTGGAGTGGTCCACAACAGACCTGTCCTACCTGACGCTCAGCACCTGCCCAGGTAGGCACCACCCTTCTGCAGGGCAAGCAGCAAGGTTGTACAGCGCAAGATTTACTGGGAAGGGTTGTGAAATCGAGGCAGGGGCCTGGATTTCAGTCACCCTCAGAGAGCATGTCTGGCCTCCCCTCTGCAAGCAACAGAGCCCTCGCCTCACTGCACTGCAGCTCCAGCACAGCATGACATGTATATAATAAAAATAATAAATAATTACTGCTATACCGTGTCCTATACATTCAGGGAACAGCTCAGGCTTACAGCCTTACACCGACTGACTGTACAGGGCCGACATATGGTCTTCCTTGTACAGGTCTTCAAAGCACACACAGCTGGTGGCTGGGCCCTGCAGCTTTTCTGGAGCCATTTTAATGCTCAGTGCCTCTGAAGTAAGGGGTAGGAATTCCACACACAGGGAAGCTGGCTTTTAATACTGACAAGGAATAGACAAACCTGATGTGATTGCCACTTTCCAAAACCAAAAAGTCAGAATACCAAAACATCCACTGACTTTTATGTACCTAGAGTAAGTCAGCTGATTTAGCTTTAAATGAATTTACTTTTTTCAGAGCAAGGTAGATTAATGTATTTGTGCTGGAAATGTAATTTTGCTGGAGTGTGACATCCTCCCCTGTGATCCTACAGCAGTGTCTTGAGCTCTGGTCTAGAGGAGGAGATGCCCAGTTCCACACTGGTTTTCCACCTTCTTTTGGTCTTACAGCAAAAGAGTACGTGTTCTGCGGTGATGAGAAGGGAAGCGTGTGGATGTACAACCTCTCAAACTACACCACAGCATGGAGCTCTGCAAAGGGAAAACGCTCAGACAAGAGGATCCCTCCCTCACAGGTGGGTCTCCTTTACCCTCTGAGGCTGAGCTGGGCCTCCCTTCTGCCCTGGTGCAGCTGTCCCGAGGCTCCTGACATACTTACACCAGAACAAGCCTCGTGTTTCCTGTACCTAACACTCAGAAGCAGTTAAAAGCAATCCTTGCCACAGAGCACAACCAAGGCCATCTTTCAAATCTCACACAGACACAACTGTGACAGGAATTAGGAGCTGTAAAGCAGGTCTCTTGGCTCCTGCGTTCTGCAGCTCGGCAACTTTTCCTAGAAGAAGGGCCCTCAGTAAAAAAATTAAGTGGTTGAACTGGAGAGCCCAACACCACCCACATCCAGGCACCATTTCCCTGACAAGCCCAGGGAAGGCAGAGTGGCTGTGTCCTGGCAGAACTGCACGCAGTAAAGGGCTCACTGCTTCCATATGCTCACGCCCCCCTTTTTCTGCTTGGTATTTCCCTGGCCTCTGGAGACAGTCCTCTTCTGGGCAGTTACTGCTCCCCAGGAGGGTGAAGGTGTACACATTCAAAGGCTCGCTGCAGAGCCTGGCCTGGAGCTATCATTATACATAGGTATGGCACAGCCTCATGTTCTGTGAAGTTTTTGCAAGCACAGTGCCCAAATCGACGCTCAGTTCCAGCTGCTTTCACATCCTCCTTTCTGATCAAGCCTCTGGTCAAACCCTGCTCTCCCCTCTGGGAGGAGTGCCAGAGCTGCACCACCTCCCTCCACAGCAGGAAGAACCTTCCTGTTCACCTTCCCCAGGTGGGAAGGGAAGCAGCTTCCACAGAAACCCAGTCATCAAACCAGGCCTTGCCATAATTAATAACCTTCCACTTTCAGAGACAATACCACTGTTCCTTTCCTACCTAATCTCTGTTCTCCTCATAGATTCTCAAGTGGCCGGAGCTTCAAGCAAACAAGGAGCACCTGACTGAAGTCCTAATAAACAATGTGGTATCAGACCCTGCTTTTACTTACCTTGTCGTTCTAACTAGTGTGAACGTAACAGCCATTTGGAAGAAGTCATAGTCCCTTGTAACAGTTTCATTCCCATGCTTTGAAACAGTGCAGTATTAGTGACCGTTACCCATCTAACCATTAAGTTTTCTCTTGCACATAATAGCTGATCTAGAAAAAAAAAGGTAAAAGTTTGTGAAACTCACCAAGTCATTGTAAACATCTGGTTTCTTTTACTGTAAGTTTTCACAGTTTGTGCATTTGTTTTATAGAAATGACACTTAATAAAACAAAATACTGGTACAGTTGGCAGTGCTGGACTTTTTGAAAAGGAAAAGCAGAGACTTCATCTACTGCTGTCACTCAGCAGCTTCTCATGCTGGAAGTACACTCACAACAAACTCACCAACAGCCTAGTACAAATATTTGCATTAAGGCTCCAGTTAGAACAGCAGAGATTGTTTTAATGACTTATCCATCAAATCGAGATAAATCTCTTGGCAAGTCTGCTATAAAAAACTGCCCCTCAGCATATCACCACTGCTGTCAAAAATTAACTAAACATCATAAGTGGGATAAGGGGGGGGGGGGATATTTGCCATGAATGGAGGTTCAAATATAGCATTCAACTAACAGATGCATCATTCTGCTCAGAAGTACAGTCCACTCTAAAGGGGGTGATTTTACTCCACTCCTTCTTGTTTGTCTTTAATAGCAACCTGTAAAACACAAAAATAGATACACTAAGACAAGAACTGTTACAGAGCCAGAGGAAGCTAAACATTTGTAACAAGTCTTCTATGAAACACAAGAACCACCACAAACGATCAGTGGAAATCCTTACACCATCCAGAAAAACAACACTTAATGTTGAAACACATTTACAAAATTGGTTCACTGTTACCTTTTACCGGCACATCAGAGAACACTACAGAGTATCCTATTCATGGCCCCCCTGGGTTTGTCTGAAAAACGTTTTGGACAGATAAACTCTCAAAAGTCAGGGGCTAAACACAATCATACAGTTGAGCAGAAGCGATGAGAAGTGGTTGGAAATACTGTCCTGGAGTTTTGGCATATGTAAAAAAACCCCATGCAAACAGAAAGACACTTGGAAGAATAGAATAAGACTCTGAGAGAACCAAAGGCAACCACCTAGGGAATTACAGAGCACCCACTGAACCCTGGGCACACACATAACCCTCGAAAGCAGCCAAGTAACGCAAAGCTGTGTGGCTTTGATTAATTTATTGACCTAAAAGAGCAGCTCTAGGATACACTACCCCTCTCTTTGTTTCACTTTCAATTGCAAGAAGCTCAAATACTTTAAAGAAAGAAGAAACACTTACCCTGAACCTCTCTTCCAGGAGGGAGAGCTCACTGATCAAATCCGTGATGGCGTTGGTGAAAGCTTCCTGGGGGCTGTAATCAGGGGTGGTCTGGACTCGGATGATAATTTTGTGTTCCAATGGGTGTGGGACCTTGTACCCCGCAAATAACACCTGGGGGTCTTTCAGTAACTGCCTGCAACAGAAAAGCAGCACTGAACAACCACGCAACACAAATACACGTGCTTTTTTTTTTAAATATATATTTTAAAAAAGAAAAAAAAATCATTAAAAAGACGGGTTTCTGACAAGCTTTCCCAATGTCTTTCAAACAAGAGCATTAGGTGTGTGTTCGGGGAGGTTATTCTCACAACTTTTTAAAGGGAGAGTTGATTTGGCCGGACGTGACAACATCTATCACCTGTCTCTTAT